CACGGCAAGCGCCTGCGCATCGCCGGGGCCACCGTGGAGGCCGGGAGCGACGGCTCGGTGCAGGAGGCGCGGGTGCTGGAGCACCGGCCCTTGGAGCAGCTGGCTCTCCTCGTCGCCTCGCCGCTGCGGGCTGGACACAACTACACGCTCCGCATCCAGTACAGTGCAAACCTCTCTGAATCCTTCCACGGCTTTTATAAAAGCAGCTACAGGACGCGGGATGGAGAACGCAGGTAATGCCATTGAGAGGTGTAAAAGAAGGTGTTTGGTAGGGCATGTAGCTGCTGTTTGGAAATGTGTGCTGTGGGTTAGCATGGAGGGAGAGTAAAAGTGAGTAAAAAAGAGGAAGAGTCGTGGGCTGAGAGGAAAAACAGTTTAATGATTAAAACAAACCAAAGTAGTATAATACAAGTAACAGCAATGAGCTGTAATAAAAATAGGAACAATAGTAATGCAATCAGTTATACTTGGCTCAGAGGCAGCATTAAGCCTTGGGAACCGAATGAGCTCCGCCTGGAGACAGCAGCCATCCAAAGGAGGGGCTGCCCCAGCAAACTGCCCAGTCTGTAGTCAGTGTGACGGTTATGGTAGAGCATACATCATGTTGGCCAGCGTGGGTCACTGGGTACCTGCCCTCACTTCTTGTGCAGAAGAAGAGGAAAAAACCCAAAAACCTGGGAGCACAGGTGCAGGTAGAAATTGAAAAACCAGTCCTGGAGTTAGTGCAAACATTACTGGGCAAGAACCAAAACATCGGTGTGCTATCAGTGTTTTTCTTAGCATAAATCTAAGGTCTCACCAACTACTATGAAGAAAAATAACTCAGCTGAAACTAAAACAACTTGCCAGCTTAGTTTCACCAGATCAAACACTGCAGTTCTCTCAAAAATGCAGCGTTCCTGAACAGAAAATGTAATTCTACAGTTCAATCCCAGTAAAACCAGGACAAAATTACTCTGTTTTCACACATCAAGAGGGTGAACTTTACATGTGTGGAGGTACGTGACCAAAACCCTTTTCTTTCCCTCGCTCAGAGTGCTCGCAGCGACACAGTTTGAGCCGACGGCTGCGCGAATGGCCTTCCCCTGCTTCGACGAGCCAGCCTTCAAAGCCAGGTTCACAATTACGATCAGGAGGGAACCCAAGCACCATGCACTGTCCAACATGCCAATCGTAGGTGGATGCTCCGAGCGGTGTAGGGTGACTGATGGTCTCTGAAACAGGGGAGCGGAAGGAGAACAGAACATCAGGCCATGGCTGTTACTGGGAGTGGTGGCCTGAACGTGAGCTCAGCTCTTCCATGAGCGTGCGTGGTGCTGTTGCTGGTGGTCTTGAGACAGGGTTTAGAGGGAATGGAGGAAATAATGCACCGTGTGCGTTCCTGCTGCTCAGCAGAGCTGTGACAGTGATCAGCACAGCGTGGTCTCCGTCATGTTTGCTTCGCTCACAAAATGTTTTTCATGTTGATCTTGCATTTTAAGATTAGTGATGAGATATGTATGAGTAAGTACACGACTCGTGTGTTGACTTAGCTGTCAGATAAGCAGGATCTTCCACGGGGAGAAAAATATCTTGGGCTTCAGAAAAACATCTTGGAGTGACAGTGCCACACGTGTAGTAGCTACATGCAATTATAGATGTGTTTTAGATGAATTATAGTTTGCAGTTGTAAATATTTGTGCATGTGTAGGGTTAGCTACGTTCTGTATGTTTGACCTTACTGTGGGAGTAAGAGATTCTTCATGGTTTCCTCTGTAAAAGCAGTTGCTGGTTTGCCAGGAAACCAACCCTTATAAATGAGGGAACAGCAGCTCCCCCCGTTTTTTCATTTGAAAATGAAACATTTTCAAAGTTGGTGTAAAACATCAGTTCTTGAGTAGTACCTTTAAATATAGTATTTTTAAAGAGAAGAAACACGAGAATTCTTGGTGCCCAGTCCCAGGTCATCGTGCTGGGTGATGAGCTTGACCCCACAATCTGTAAGATTGTAAAATAGGTATGTTTATTCACCGGTGGGCAGCAAGGTAGATTTTTCTTAAGACCTTGTGCCGAGTGCCACTGCTCGCCGAGGTTATATGCGGTAAGATGTTACATATACATAAGATTTCCCAATACGCCTATACATATGCATGACCTATCCCCGCTTCGTATTAAGATTAGTTCCAGGAAGTCACGTCCATAAACTCGTCCTAACTGCGCTTGCGCAGTGCCTTCTGGTGGTCGTCGTGGAGGGCTTCTTTTGGTGACCGCTAGTAACCGTTGCTCGTGCGCAGACTCAGTTGTTCTCTGGTTCTTGCTCAATCCAGGGGGTCGGGTTTAGCCGGTTCTTGAGACCACTCTGGTTCTTATCAGTAACTCAAGACTTCTCCCTCCACCCAGTTCACGCAATTAGCAGCACATTTAGTAAGTGATAAGTAATACAAGGTTTCCCAAGATTTCTTTAATCCCTTTTTCAAGCTGTGCTTGGTTTTTAGGTGAAGTCTGTGAATATAACTCCCTGGCTTGTTGAGGACCATTTCGACACCACTGTCAAGATGAGTACGTACCTCGTGGCCTTCCTCGTTTCGGATTTCAAGTCCATCAGCAGAATAACCGGTCATGGAGTTAAGGTAACCCTGTCTCGTTTTCTAAGAGCTCCTTTGTATTTAAGCCTGCATGACTACATAATGGTTTACACTTTAATTATGTCATTAGATTTGTGTATCTTGACGTTGTACAGGAATGAAAGGAGAGAAAGAGATGGGTTCTGTAACTGCTTGATCGGTTTGCATTCCCGGCGTTATTAGTTTCAAAAGGTTTTGGTAATGGGCTTGCTTTTTACGTAATTACATGCATTGGTACAACAGAGCATGTAAGATGATGTAGTTAAAGGTAAATGAAATGCAGGTTTCATGCTGAACCAGCACTGAATCCACCTGTGTCAGTCAAAGGACTCTGAGGTGGTAGGGGTGGGGTGGAAACAGCAGAAGTCTCTGTAGGGGCGTAGCGGTCCTGGTGGGTAGGTTTAAAGACTTGTGTTCCTAATTCTGGTGGTGTTTTTCTGCAAATGTTTTAGTAGCTCTTGTAGGAGCAGTGTTAGGGGAGTGCTCCAGTGTCCCTTTTCGTGGTCGCTCAAGCAGCTGTGACAAAGAACAGCTTTTGGTGTGGGTATTGAGGTGCTGCTGCCCCTCTGCTGCAGATTTCCGTGTACACGGCGCCAGACAAGATCGACCAAGCTGACTACGCCTTGGATGCGGCAGTGAAGCTGTTGGACTTCTACGAGGATTACTTCAGCATTCCTTATCCTTTACCTAAGCAAGGTCAGTGCTAGGTAGTTTAATGTGTTCGGTAACGTCCTCAAGCGCAGACAGTAAAACAGCACAAACCCCAGCACTTCACAGTGTTTAAGAGAGGGCCAGGTTTGGCTCCTGGGCTTTAAAAGCGGCTGCTTCACAGAACGTAAGGACAGGTTGAGCAGCTCCATTGAGAACTGAAGATCCCTGTAGGGCTTCTTTTTAAAGTATGGTTTTGCAGTTAGGTTGAAGAGAGGCCTGAGAAATACGTGTGATGCATGTGCCTGTGTGGGAGCAGCGTTGAAGTGGGATGGGCGGGTGAGCAAGTTCTGTATTGAGTACAACGATGCTCGCACTATTTCAATGTTTTCTTCCTAGATTTAGCAGCTATTCCTGATTTTCAGTCTGGCGCTATGGAAAACTGGGGGCTGACCACGTACCGGGAGTCTGCGTTGTTGTATGACCCTGGAAAGTCCTCGGCGTCTTCTAAGCTGTGGATTACGATGGTGGTAGCCCACGAGCTGGCTCACCAGGTGAGATCTGGGGAAGAATAGGTCCAGATCGGCCTGCAGAGGTGTTGGGGTTGAGGGATCCGCTGCACGTAGCGGGGCTGTGGAGCGGAGCCAGCATTTCAGTGTATTGCAATGGAAATGGGTGCTGTGGGAAGGGCCAGCGCCAGCTGCATCTCTAAAGAAAGACTCCTTAGAGGTCCATTCCGTCCCAGGTCAGCGGCAGCTTTTGTGACACACTGTGTATTCAATTTCAGCAGCTCTTTTGGGTCTTTTTTCGCAGTGGTTTGGCAACCTGGTGACCATGGAGTGGTGGAATGATCTGTGGTTGAATGAAGGGTTTGCAAAGTTCATGGAGTTCGTGTCCGTCAGCGTTACCCACCCGGAATTAAAAGTTGTAAGCACCCGTTACTGTGCTCTTACCTATAACTGCCTTCTAAATCCTCTGATTAGTGAGGATAACCACCAAGGAGATCTGTGCTGTGAACCCCTTTTAAATTTCTGCTCGGTGGGATGAGGCTAACTCGGAAGGGTAGGCGTGTTGATTTAATGACATGTAAATATTTTCAGGAGCTGACGACGGAAGGTAATGATTGCAGTGGACGTGTGTTTATTGAGAGACATTTAGACTTCAAAAAGTGCAAAGAAGTTATTTTACCTTTTTTCAAAGAGGGTCAGACTCACAAACCCTCAGATCCTCCTGCTGGCTCTAGCAGAGGGCTTCGGCAGTGAGTGGAGTCTTAACCAAAGCGAGGTGAACAGTGGTTTTGGCATAGCACTGCAGTGACGTGATGTTCAGGAAGTTCACCACGTTTTCTTTTTGTTTGAGCTTGTTTTCAGGTTACTGGCCGCTGTCATCGAACTGTTGGAACCTGCGGGTGTCTTTTGGGAATTATTTTTCAGTCTCACTTGTGCAGCTATTTAAGTTGGTGTAGAACCTTACAACTTGTTTGGCTGTGTTGCTGTTTGGGGGGGGGTTATGCTCTGGAATAAGAAGAAATAGGTGTTTTGTTTTCTTTGTGTGATTTAAAGATGACGTGGGATGGGCTGAAAAGCGAACAAACAGGGATTCAGTGGTCACCGAGCGACGCTGAGAATTAACACTTGGTTTTGCCTCCTATTAGGAAGACTATTTCTTAAGGAGATGTTCGGATGCCATGGCAGTGGATGCACTGAATTCGTCACACCCTATATCCACTCCTGTGGAAGATCCAGCTCAGATTTTAGAGATGTTTGATAACGTTTCTTATGAGAAGGTAAAACAAGTGAGCGCCGTCCATTGCAGTTGTGCTGCCTGTGCTCTACAATTGCAGCTTACTGATTTCACCCCCCGTGTAAGACCTCCCTGACGCCCCACATTGATGGTTTTATGGCTGGAATAGTTCCTCCACCACAACACCGGGGTGGGTTCAAATGGCAGTTCAGTTTCTAAAGTGAGGAAGCCTTTTCTCCTCTCTGCTCTGTATCAATTTGATCTTTAAGCCATTTTTCAGGTCCTTGATCCAAGGAGTACTTTTCACTGGAGCCACTGCATGGTGCTGGCTTTCATAGTAGTTAAAAAAATAACAACATCACTTCCTCAGTCAGTGGCACTTTTAAGAGTAGTGATCGCAAAAAAGCCCTGTTTCAATACACATAAAACCCAATTATTTTTTAATCAGAGTGACATAACAAAATGAACTGTTACACGGATTGGTGGGCGCTGAAATTTTTCTGGAATCTTACCAGCTAAGGAGTAGTTTTAGAAACACCTCGTCACTCTTTGTATTTCCAGGGGTCTTGTATACTAAATATGCTGAGGGACTACCTGACTGCGGATGTGTTTAAAGCTGGACTTGTCCAGTACCTGCAGAAATACAGCTATCAGAATACAAGAAATGAAGATCTGTGGAACAGCATGACAAATGCAAGTAGCCCCTCTTCTCTTAGTTCTTTTCAAGTCTTGTAACTTCTCATGTCTCTCTTGTACATTACTGGAAACTGTGACCGGTCCTTGTGATAATGACAGCAAGGTGACCAACACTTTCATTTCTTTCCTTTCAGATTTGCCCTACAGGGGGTACTGATCAGAATGAAATGCAGAGTGATGGTTTTTGCAGAAGCGGCCAACAGTCGCCCTCCAATGCCGTAAGCACGTGGTTTTTCCACCCCCTGGTATTGAGAATCCCAGGATGTCAGGAGCTGGAAGGGACCTGGAAAGCTCCCCCAGTGCAACCCCTGCCAGAGCAGGATCACCAGAGCAGTCACACAGGAACACGGCCAGGGCTTTGGGTGTCTCCACACAAGGAGACTCCACAACCTCTCTGGGCAGCCTGGGCCATGCTCCAGAACCCTCACACTCACAAACTTTGGCCTCATCTTCAGCTTGAACCTCCTGTGCTCCAGCTTGGGACCATTGCCCCTTGTCCTGGCATTGGCCATCCCAGAGCAGAGCCTGGCTCCTTCCTCCTGACACTGCCCTTTCCCAATGGATCCCCAGGAATGAGGGCACCCCTCAGTCTCCTCTGCTCCAAGCTCAAGAGCCCCAGCTCCCTCAGCTGCTCCTCAGCAGGAGATGCTCCACTCACTCCCTCCAGCATCTTTGACGTGAGAAGGTTGACACAAACCTGTCCCCTCTCTGTTACTGTCCTGTGCTGCACCATTGCCGTTGATTTGTACACCTTGAATTTCAGCGTGGTTCTCGGGAAAGTGTGAGTTTCTTCATTTCCATTGGAAATGTTTTCTCTGGGTGGGACAGAAATCCTACCGCTGTGCCAAGGACTGACTGAAAACAGAGATGTCCTTAACTGTATGAAAGTATGCACAAGAAAACCAGCCTGAGATGCTGTGATATCCAATCTGAACATACCTATGTGGAGCTTGCAGACACCCAGCAGCTTTTAGAGTGCTTACGTACCCGTTCCTGTTTGACTGTCTGTGTACTCCCATCTTCCTCCTCTTCTCACATGCCTTCTTTTTCCCTCTAAAACCCAGCACTGGACTAAAGGAGAGACTTTTGATGTGAGGGCCATGATGGACACCTGGACCCTGCAAAAAGGCTTTCCCCTGGTGACGGTCACCGTGAGAGGGAAGAACGTCTACCTGCGGCAGGAACACTACGTGAGGGGAGCAGCTTCTCCTTCCTCCACGGGGTAAATAAAATGGGGAGATCCCGTCATGCAAACAGAAACACTCTGCTGTGGGCAGCACTGTTGTACAGGAGGAGCTTTTCATGTTCATCGTGAGGGTCATGAGGATCTCCCTCGGGGTCAGGCGTGCTCCTGTCGCCGGACCCTGCGTGCCTGGCCACGGAGCCAGAGCTGCAGTGCCTGGGTCCGGCTGCAGTGCCGGCTGTGCCCGCACTGGAGATGTGCTGGTGGGACTGGGCTGGGAGGTTCATTTTCATTTTGTGTCAGTGAGCCCCCAAGCAAACAAAATGCCAACCGTGTCCTGGGCTGTGTCGCCAGCGCCATGGCCAGCAGGGTGAGGGGGCAGTTCTGCTCTGCAGAGACCTGCCATGCAGTGCTGCGTCCAGCTCTGGGTTCCTCCGTACAAGAAGGCCATGGAGCTGTTGGAGTGGGTGCAGAGGAGGCCATGGAGATCCTGAGGGGCTGGAGCAGCTCTGCTGTGGGGACAGCTGAGAGAGGTGGGGGTGTTCAGCCTGGAGAACAGAAGAGAAGGCTGCGGTGGGACTTTAGAATGACCTGCCAGGACCTGAAAGGGCCGCAG